CAAAGTTCCTGAATCAACCCAAAGAAGAATGGCCTGAACAACCAGCTATGCCAGTCGATCCCGCGGAACTCGACAAAGAACGTCGAAATACCCAAGCAGCCTTTTCCTTAAGCACCGTACCGACAGTAATTGACCCAACGAAATTTTCGAAGTGGAAGAGATTGGTGAGAGTGACGGCGTGGATCTTACGATACATACGAAATCTACGATTAAAAACAAAACCCGAAGATAATGTCGACCCGTTAACAGCTGTTGAGTTAGAACAGGCTGAAGAGTTATGGATCGAGACAGCACAAAAAGAGTTACACGAACGTGTTAAGAACAAAGAGTTCAATATGCTTAGTCCATTCACAGATGACAAAGGAATCATAAGAGTCGGCGGACGAGTGGATAAAGCTATCGTAGCGTATGATTCGAAGCATCCAGTACTTCTTCCCAAGAACCACCACATTTCATACCTGATTACCAAAGATGTACATCAGATTACTCACACTGGGATAGCGTCGACAGCGGCGAAAACAAGAAGAAAATTTTGGATTATCGGAGTGCAAAATTTGGCAAAGTTAATCAAGAAAAAGTGTATTTACTGTAAGAAGTCGCATCCAAAGATTGAATCGCAAGTTATGGCCGAACTGCCGAAGATAAGATTGATGCCTCAGACACCTCCATTTTACCATACAGCTTGTGACTATTTCGGTCCGTATAAAGTCAAAATTGGAAGAAATAAAACCACTAAACACTATGGTGTTTTGTTTACTTGTCTGAATACTCGGGCAGTTCATTTGGAACTTGCAACAGACTGTTCAACAATGGAATTCATCCAAGTACTCCGAAGATTCTTCGCGATTAGAGGTTACCCTTCATTAATGTTGAGCGATAATGGAACACAACTGGTCGGCGCAGAGAGCGAACTAGCAAAGATGATCCAAGTTTGGGATGTGAAGAAACTCAAGGAGTATGCAGCAGATAAAAGAATGGAGTGGAAATTCATTACTTCTAATGCCCCACATCAAAACGGATGTGCCGAATCGTTAGTAAAAAGTTGTAAATTAGCCCTTAAACAAGCCATGGGAGATAACCTTCTCACACCATTTGAATTGCACACCGTACTGCTTGAAGTAGCAAATCTGGTAAACCAACGACCAATTGGTAGACCAACCAACGACCCCGATGATGGTACATACCTATGTCCGAATGACCTTTTATTAGGAAGAGCTTCCTCGCATGTTCCACAAGGACCATTCCTGAGGACAAAGAACCCGCGTCATAGAGTTGAATTTCTACAACAGATTCTTGACTCATTTTGGAAACGATGGACCAGAGACGTCTTCCCCTGTTTAGTTTCACGAAAGAAATGGGATGTTCAACGACGCGATGTCAAAGCCAACGATATTGTCATGTTAGTTGATTCGAATGCAGTACGAGGCAATTGGACGATCGGAAGAATCATTGAAGTTCATCCAGGTAAAGATGGAAAAGTTCGAAATGTAACAGTAAAAACACAAAATGGTAATTACCGAAGACCTATTACTAAAATCTCAGTTATTCACCCCGTGGACGGAGAATAGAATGAGAGCAATGTCCTCATTGGGGTGGAGGATGTTTCGCTAATTTAAAAATAGATAAATAATTACGTCATTGAACAGACAAAGTCACGTGACAGAAAATAGCGGGAAATAAATACGTTGGTTTTAAGCTGTTTACTCGAGGTTTAACGTTCAGGAATAGGTTTATATTTGGTGTATTGTAAAGTGATATAGGCCAAAGAAGTAAGTTCATGTTGTTTATCATAACTAATTTACTTTATTCAGTAGATAATTCTTGTATTTATACTTTTAGATCGAATATTACTACTACTAACTACTAAAACTGATTATTATACGATATTTGGAAATTATTTGTGGTTACTTTACAAACCGGTAATTCTGATTCTGGCGAGCCAATAGCAAAGATACACAACAATTACTGATATCTCATTATATATGTAATCGAGTAAATGACGTCACATGGTTACAAACAAAACGAAATCACTCGAGAACTAAGCATGGGAACAAAAATCTTCAAAACAAGTTCCCATACAGTTTTGAAGAGCATTTTCGTTTAAGGAAATAAAAATTTTGATGAGAGTGCCCCGTTAATTAATCTCGGCACACGACAACTAGACTTGCAAAATACTTTTGGAATGCTTTTCGTGCAAGATTTAAGAAGCTTTCCTGCGAAGATATTTTGTTAAAAATTTCCTGGCGCTGTGCGACTGGTGCTACCGGACATTTTCAGCACTGGGGTTACCTCGCCGTGAATATACAAATCAACCTGACGAAGATCTTAAACGAACGCATGAATAAATCGTGCCAATTTCAAGTACAGTATATTTAGCGATAACGCGTAAGCGAAAACATGCAGGTAGGGTTAGCATATCAGGGCAAAATATTATAAAATAACATGTGTATAACGCGTGCTCTGATTGGTCGACACCCGTGTTTGGATATAATCAGGCCATCCAAGCACGGAAATTTAAAGTGAAATTTTTTTAAAGTGAAATTTTAACACGAAAAGTTGTTATTTTATAAAACAATTACTTTATGGTTTCCGTGTTTGGATGGCTTGATCCAAACAAACACTTGGGAATGTTGCTCGAGTTAAGAAAAGCGCGCAAAATCACTCGCCTTCGGCTCGTGTTTCGCGACATTCCCGCGTGTTTTCTCGCAACATTCCCGCGTGTTTGGATCAGGCCATCCAAACACTACCCTGGCCCAGAGGTTTTTTAGGTTTGACGAACGCGAAATGCGAGAAAACGCGCGAAGAAAAAGGAAAAACCTCTGGTGAATTTGTTAGCGATTCCTGGTTCGGATAAGGAATGCAAAAAATTTATAATGGCTTAATGCATCATATTCTAAAAATATTATCCAATCATTATCCTTGACGCCAGGCCGTCTAGACTAAAGGAATACCGAATGTTTCCGTGCAGGATTGCGTGATCCATGCACGCGGGATGTTGCGAGACTTTCGGAAAGCGTGAAAATACACGAGCCGTAGGCGAGTGTATTTTTACGCTTTCCGAAAGTCGAGCAACATCCCAAGTGCATGGATCATGCTATCCTGGACGGGAAAACCATTTGGTAATTGTTTTATAAAATTACTACAGTGAAACGACGGTTAACTTGATTAAAATTACTGATGAAATGTGCAGTTCTCACAACAATCGTCAATTAACCAATCGGAGAATCGCTACTCCACGCTATTGAAAACAACAACAAATGCGAACAGAATTTGATCGCAAATTCGCGAAAATATACAGCGAAAATACAGAGATTTTTTCGATAAAATTTACGAAATTTGAAATGGAAAACCCGCTAAACAGAGAGCCAAAGTAGTTATGAAAAGATTCTCGATCTGAATACTTGAAGATTGCGAAGCGTTTGAACTTTGAAGCGACTAGCGAGAGATGTTGTACTTGCCATGGTTTGATGAATTTCAACGCTACGCGTTGCTACTTGCTTGAACAGGAATATATCGATCAGAAATTTATTCATACAACTAAACCAACGTCTCAATAAATATAATTGGAAACTTATTTCAAAGTCGAAAGGTATCGTACAATGAAACTTTACAATGCGAGTATATTTGTAAAATTATGTGCAAGAATTTCTGTTCAGAATTTCCCGCGCAGGATTGTCTGATCCTGCACGGCTGTTGACCAATCAAATTGCGTGTTTCACTGTAGTTATTATATAAAGGGTTTTATCGCATGTATACTGTCCAGTGTATGCCTGCCCATTTGTAGCAATATTCGTTCTCCTGAATTTCATTCAATTTAAAACATCACATCTATTCAATTTAATATAAATATATATTTATATTCATTCACTTTAATCTTGCAATATACATTCAATTTAATCCTGCAATATATACATTCAAAAAAATCTGTATTTACATTTATTAAACTGTTAAACACACCTCTTTGGGCCGACGTGAACTTTGTCTGTTAATACAAAAGCAAGCAAATTTGTGTTGTAGATTTCAAATGAAACCATTCCTCTCCATTTCGCATTTCAAATAATAGACTCGGGATTACAAAATGCGAATGTAAACTCTCCATCTAGTATTGCTTTCTCGTCCTCTTCGTTTGACAGTAACACGGCATCCACGCTTTCTTAGTTCACGGACGTGAGAGTCAATGAAAGAGTTCAATTTGCAAATGACTATTAAGATGGGTTTCTCCAGAAAATTGTGGCTTTTGCCAAGTCGTCGTGCTACTCAGCTCGGTGTTAGAACTTTGAAGAGTGGATGTCAGCAAAAATCGGATATTTTAGCAAATTCGCGGCAACGGTCGAGAAATCGATTCCGCTCATATTTAAACTATATATAGGCCCTAATGTAAGAAATACTACTGTGTAGTTTTCTTGGTGAAATACGGCTTAGTATTCGGGAAAATCGCAGAAAATACTTTTCGAATTAAATTCGCTAATTTTGAGCCGATAATTTAGGTTAACTTCAACAACTTGTCGGGGCGAAACAAAATAACCCAGCGCTGTAGTAATCTCACGCGATGTTAATTGCTATCTTAATATGCAACAGGTAGAGTTTCAGCCATTATTGTTCGGGTTTTTGATTTTTATTGAAGTTATTTTTGGAACACATAGAAAATCTATCTCAAAATATGTTCAAAGTAAACTAATTTTTTTCCATGTGCGACGAAATATTTTTTACTATAAAACAACCCATAATTGCCTTTAAATGGTGTATTTTGTGAATCGTTTAAAATTTTCTTGGGGAAATTATTTTTCGTGATGCAGCGCGTCCCCAAAGTTGTAAGAAATTTACAAATTTTGCCTGTCGGCAAGATCAATCAATTTATATATTGTGTACATATGTAGCGTTTATAAAAGAGGCTCAGTGTTTGTATTTTAAATTAAGAACAAACTGAATGTTCTACATTGTAAAAGGAACTGACTAATCACAAACTATGTTAAATTCCCTTTTTAAATACATCGATTGACCCATATAATATCTACTAGTAAGTGCATAATATTGGTGTCTATTTCTGTCTATCGTCAAACTCACATTGTATACGAGTTATTTCGACGAAACGAATATTTTATGTGTAATAAACAAACCGGACATAATTCATTGACATTTTCAAAATTTCCTGTCCTTTTCAGCTACTCGTCTTTTATGCTTATCATTCCGGATACGTTTTCGAGGGTTTACTAATATTAGTATAAAGATGATCCTCTTTAAATAATAGAATATTCTGACGTGTTTACCTTTGAAGCCATATCATTGTAATCTAGTTCAGCAACCGCAACTTTGAACCAGTTTTTCTAGCAAATCAATGTACGGTTTTTGTGGCTAGCCCGTTCGCGGGCTAGCCACTATGATACGGGATGAGCGGTGGTGGTCGGTCAACGATGTCTGTCCGGATTGTCGTGAAATTATCGTGAGCGGAAGTGAGGCCGACAGTATGGCGATCGTTTGTTTCGTGGTTTCGGTTATCATCGGAAATTTGGCGGAAGTGATGAGGCCCGACAGTTTGACGATCGGTTATTTCGGTTTTCATCGGAAATTTTTGAACTTCATGCCTGATAAACATTTCATGCAAACAAATATTTTCGTTTTGAGGTCTTTTCGACAGCTGCTGTTTAAAAAAATATGAAAATTTTGCGAACGATAAGAGAAGTTCTACAAAAGGTAAGTTAGGAGAAATCAAGGAGATTTTGATCACGCTTGATATAAAGCTTTATATAGTGAGTTTATAATCCTGTTTATAATCAAACGTTCTTGCACAGATCTTGAATTTTTATCCATTATGTGGGTAAATTTATAAGAAGCAAGCCCATTGTTTACATATTTTACAACGATACTAAAACCGCCCTATCCACTTGCAGGTATAAAACTACAATTAACACAGAAAACAGGCGGGACTATTTTATGAATTTATGCTAATATAGTCTATTGTAGTCACTAGCCTGGAAGCTCAGTCGGAAGTAATTGGAAGTAATTGAGTGAAAATGTATTATTTTACATTCATTAGACCTATTAAACCAGGAAATGCAACTGTAGGTGCAGTTTATTTTTGGATATCTAGTCCAGGTGTAAATAACATATATCTGATCTAGGATCAGCAGGGACGTAGAGACACGGGAATGTGTGTGTGTGTGTGTGTGTGGGGGGGGGGGGTTGTAAACCCCACAACTGTGAAACTCAGGTAAAACTCATGTACATTGTAAATTTTGACATTTTCAGGTAAACTTTGTGTAACAAAGTCGTTATTTTTGTAAAATGATGACCATTTGACATTCGGCACCCCACCCCAAACTTCAGATGCTTTGCTACGTCTCTGAACATTAGTGCAATCACCATACAACACTGACCCTTGCAGTTACGAGGGTATATATGAAGAAGAAAACCCACAGCCATGTGATGAGGTCATATCGACACGTTTCAACATTTCTTTTCAGCACTTAATAACAGCAGTGTCAATTGAGTAGCATATTCATACTCTTATTGCCACAGTTAAATGTTGTTTAACCCAATAAGCTGCAATGTGCCCCAGTGCACCCTACTTATTTCTTTTACTTGTCTAAC